ATAGGAAAAGCCGCAAATCCTTTAACTGACATCAATAAAGTCTGCTATCGAGCTAACATCCATATAACCAGTACGCGCATAGCTTTTCTCTTCTCCGTACCACATCAAATGTGGATAGCTGAAATCCATATATACATAAGACTGAGGAAAACTACAAGATTTGGAAAAATCTAGCTTTTATCCATTTCTTTATCTCAAACATTTTTACCTTTATGAGCTGTCTTATCATCTTTTGCAGACCCTTACATTTTTCCTCGTTATATCATATAATGTTTCGAAAACAACGAACAATATTCAATTTTTATGCGTTTCTCGCATTTATGCAACGCAAAAACGCATACTCTCGAAAGGTTGTCTGGGTGTTCGTCTGTACCGGTTTTTCATCTCGAAACCCTCAAAAGCTACAAGGCTGAAACTTTGGGAACTCAATCTACATGCACAGACGAGCCCCATCCCCCAAAACGGGCATTCTTGCCCATGCGGTTTCCACGTACTGAGCCACCAAAGTCTTTCCGGGTAAGCTGCTAACTCGAGATTACAAAAGTCAGGAAGCTGAAATTTCAAACGGATATCCCCTGTCCACGTAAAGCTTAATGAGTTCAAACCCAGCCTCCAGATATGTGTGATTCCCACGTACGGGCCTGCGAATCTTTCTGCGGGTAAGATGCTAACTAGGGAAACTGAAAAGCTAAAAAGCTGGAATTTTACGAGGATATTCTCCACCCATGTACAATCTAATGACTTTAATTTCAACCCCCGGGTGTGCAGTTCTGCTCGTGGAAATTTTTTGCGGGTAAATTGCTAACACGGGAACCTGAAAAGCTAGAAGGCTGTAATTTTAAAGAAATGTTCCCGTCCACGTAGTTCTTAAGGAATTCAATCCCACCCCGAACGTGTGCTTTGTTCCTACGAAAGAGCACGTGAAAATTTCTGGCAAGTAAGTTGCTAACTCGGGGACCGGAAAAGCAAAAAAGCTGAAATTTTAAGGGGATGTTTCCTGACAGTTTCGATGGTCAGCCTCATTTCTAGAAACATCTACCGGAAAAAGCGGTGTCGTTAACTGCAAAAACCTGCGAGGAACTATACAAAAAAAACGCATCTTCGCACCAGCAATCGGTGCGCTGGCCAATTATTACTAGATCAGTCTGTCTGCTAAGTCATCTGACACCTGGAGCAGATTTTAATTAGTAGTTCGATAAGCTATCATCGAGATCTAAAAGTAGCAACGTTCGGAATGAAATTGAAGTAATCAGCATGCTAAAGACAACCCAAGATAAATAAGGTCTTGCCAAATGTTTTTGTCAAGAGAACCACCGGACTTTGAGGGGACGAATCGAACGTTAAAATCGACAGCAGTCTAACAATCAGGCGATAGAATACTGGTCAAAGGAACTAGAAAATTGCCAGCCGCACAGATGGGGGACCAATAGCTGTTAAATACAACGAAAAAATATCTTCCCTCCGACATAATTTAGTAACATATTAAGCAAACACTTAGGCCACAACTGCTGCTCAAAACATAAGCTTTCCAGTACATAACAAATTTAGTTCGTATCATGTGAAGGCTTTAAGAATATATTAAGTGTTGAAATAAATTCGTTAAAAAAATTTTTTGGGACTGAAGGAGATCCAAAGAAGAGCAGCTTTTAACAGGCTTATTTTTATACTTATGTTTGGGCCGACCTAAGCATTCGCTAGACAGAATTATTCCTCCAAAATTTGGAAATATTTTTCTTCATGAAAAATTTTATTTGATAACAAACACTATCATATCAGCGAGGTAGTGGAATATTATAGTATTTATTTCTAGGATAAAATATGGACTAAAATAAGCAAAGATTGAAAGAAAAGTGATTTCAGCATTATAATTTGGTCGGCTTTGTATGTTTGCCCATTTTTTCCGTGCATATCCATATGACTATCTCACATGCTCTCTAATCTATTTATTGATATTTAAATAATAACTCGTCTGCATTACAGGAAGCAAAACTGCTGCAAAACAAGCTGTTGTTGAGGAACATGGTGCTGACTGCATATAGCTGTAAGCGAATGCGTGTGCAGTATATACCCAGAACAGTTGCTATTTCATGATCCGATCCTTGAGCTATACAGCTGACAACTTTTACATTTACTCTGACCACTGCTGGTGGTCTACACGCTGGTGATCCAAAGCTTCGCTTCGTCTCCTGAACTGACAATTCTACTGACATATAGAAACAATTCGCACAACCTTAGTGTAATGGTTCTCAACTTGAGTGTCTGTGGCTTTCCCGGAGGCCGCTAAGGCAAACAAACAAGGGACGAAGTGGGAAGAATTGCATTAAATTTTCATCGAATTTCGATATAAAAATCGACAACAAATTCGCAGTTAGCAAGTTAAAGCGCCATGAAATCGCCAGAACGTTAGTATTGTCAATTTAAATTCAATCAGGATTCTCGCAATAAAGATATCATAATAGATGTGTATATGTGTATATATTAACAGATTAATTCATTTTCCCGCCTTGAAGACCTTTCATAAGAAAACAGAAATATATATTTGGTGTAGTCTGATGATTTAAGTCTTCAATTAAGTCTCGCTGGCTAACGGCGGCAAAAGGTACTTAAAATGGAGCCGCGGCTGCAAAACTCACTTAAAAAGGGTGTCGCGGTGGGAAAAAGTTGAGAACCACCGCCTTAGAGATTTCTTTAGTATGTATTAAACACCATCACCTCGGAATGTTACCCTTCCTGAGCCATACTGATGCGCTTTAACGATAGAAATGTTATATGCCGTATATTATGCATATGTAAGATAAAACAGGAGAATATTGGTAAATTTAATGAACTCACGCATTAGCATTTGCTTTCTTGCAAATATCACCATGCTGCACACAATCTATCGTTCCGATTTTAATGTTTTCAATATGATTATGCAGCTTCCTCAGCTCCCTCAAGAGGCGTAGACATGGCGGGCACCACTGAAATCAATCACATTTTTTAAACAGAAAATAACACTGAATTCAGCAGCGCACTCAGTTCCCGTTAAACAAAAATACATCTGAGTTTTCCTCGCTGCTGCCCGTTTCCGTCCAAATCCATACGCTTTGATACAAAACAGCGCCTACTGATTTATTGTACATATCTGTTTGTATGATACTTTTTAATACTTTTGTATCAAATTTCGCGTATCAAAAATCCATTCATTCGAATTTTTCGCTAAAATTAGATATCATTTCACTAAAATCAGCGCCTTTGAAGTCTTACATACACCTCTCAATACTGATTTGTCTTCCTGCTAAACAGTGCGATACTTCGGCTAATTTTAACAATACCCTGACAAAACTGTCTGCCCCAGTACCTAGTGTTTGGCATTCACAGATATTCTCGCGTAGCGAAGAGGGCGGAGAAGAAAATTGTTACAAACTAACTTAATCAGATTGACACCTTCTAATTTAACCAGTTGTATTAAACATAAAAAATGCTCGAACCGGTGCAAAGTAATCAATAATCCATTCGTCATTCGAACTAATCGCAGCTTCGTGCATTTCCGATGTAAGTGTGACAAGTGGAGATGAACAACTTTCTTTCGCGAAAAGTGCGATATCATGAAAAGAGTTCGTTTTACCTGGAAAAGATCAAAAAAAAATTTTTGTGAAAAAAACTGAATGGCTTAACAGTTTAGAAGAATAAGAAAGACGGAAAGGTAGGCAGAAACGACGCAAAGGAAGGAGAAAGAATGCATGGGAGCAGC